CCGCCCCCCCCCCCTTTTTTTTGCTTGACAAACCTAGGGGTTCCTTGAAATTTTGAAAAGCTGAAAAGGGTTCCTCAGCCAAATAAAATTGGGAAACACTGGCCTAGCAGCTGCGGGGAATAGGAGAGCCCTTTAAATAGAAACAGCTGAGAGGGCTCACAGCTTCCTGGGTCTCTAGCGTGTTGCTAGGGAGCCAGAGACACCAGCCTTTTCAACTGTTTCTATTTAAAGGGATTGCGCCTTCTCCTCCCCTGTTACCCAAGGCTGGGGAAGATGCGAGCCCTTTAAATAGAAGCCGTTAGAAGAGCTCTCGCCCCTTTCCCACTCTGCGGCTACGAGCTAGGGGGCGGGCCTGAAACTGCCTCATGGGCTGGATAAAAACCCGAGGTGGGCCAGATCCGGCCCGCTAAGAGGCTTTTGCCCACCCTGGTTTAAAGCGAGGTTTCAGTAGGAAGAGAGGAGAATTCTATTACATGAATTACATGCTAGTGTGTCAGCAATCTTATATGTCATTTACATATTTCAGAAATATGCCAAACACCAAGCTAACAAACCTGAAATAAGAGATGGGATGGAACTTCTACCCCAGCCTGATAACAGCGCTTCCATTTGCCACTGCCACAGAAAAAAGCCTTTAAGGGAAGATTTGTAACTGTACCAGATGAAGAAAACCATTCCTGTTTCACTAGCGATGCAAAAAATAATATATATCAGATTTAAACTGTGAAATCTAGGATATATTTTTGCACTGGGGAACACTCTTGATTATGTACTTTTATTGTATTTACGCACTGTTACTGTGCCTATGATATACAAATTAGTACAAACTCTTCTATAGGAACATTTAACATTCAACAAAACAGTATTAAATTTCTCCATTAAGTCATCTGCTGATTTCTATTTTCTACTGAAAATAGTTCTTTAAAAACACAAATTATTCTACCACAGTATTAAGATGGCTACTAAATATACAGCAAATCTGTAACTGTAAACACAAAGTGGATCAATTTAGATATGTGAGGTTCAAATCTGGTATTGCATCTGATGATTTTTGATGGCCCATGTCAGGTAAATCTTGTGATCTCCATTCAGTTTCGAGTGACAAGAATGAGATTGGATGTAAAAAATGGTGGTGATATTCTTCCAAGGTCCACTTTTGACCAAAATGACATTGTGTAGATACTCAAAATACAATCTTAATATGGTCAGGGTACTACCTTAAAACTCAAGAGATCTGTGTTTGATTTCCTGCTCTGCTGCAGCTTTATGTGTGGGCAAGGCACTCAGGCAATGTCTCTGCTACAGGTCCTGTGCCAGGAGAGCTTCTTAATGTAGCTACAGTGTAAGCCAACAAGAGGAGTTCTGCCAACACAGTAATCTCTCTTCTCCAATCATTATCAACTATGCTCACTGCAACATAGCTTTGTCAACACTGAGTGTTGGGTTTTTTTCATATTCCTACCTGATATGTATGTTGGCATAATTTTATGGTGTGGACCATGTGTTAACCCTGGCCTACATTTCAAATTTAGATTGACCTACCTATGTCAGTTAGGTGAGAAATTCACACCCCTGCCTGGCATAGTTAAAATGACCCAACCACCTGGTGTAGATGCAGCTGTTAGCTACTGCAGCTAAAAGGTGGCTCACCTACATAGACAGAACCCTTTCATCAATATAGGAACAGCCATGGCAAACTTTAAACTTCAATAATTACCATGGTTAAATATACTGGTAGCCAAAACATGTTGTTGTATGTTTATTTCTTGTTTAGTTGGACAGAAAATAATGCTATAATAATGTTAGAGAATCACATTTTAGCTAGTTATATATACAGACATGATTACAAATAATCTCTCTCCTCTCCACACAGGAAAAAAAATAGCTACATTTTAAAACATGGTTTGGACACTCATGTATCACTACTGTAATTAATTATGGTTATTTTTGTAGTCCACACAGGATCATAGAAGACAAAAATATAAAGTTACCATTTCCAATCACACTATCAATGGAAAGACAGATTTATATTATTCCTTGTCCCCTCTACTCCAGTATCCCACCCTAGTTATCACTGCTACATTTAAATGGAAAAATACTTCAGTACTGTCTTCTAGATCAACAAAATGACCTCCTCACTCTTTACAGATACTACAGTATTTGACTTTTTTATAATGTCTAGGTTTTTTACATATTTGTAATCTTTTCTGTTGTACCGTATTTTAAATATCAGCACATCTTCCTTTTGAGTGAAGTACACTGAAAACAGGTTTAGAACAATTGTTAATTGATAGGGTGAATGCCAGGACAGGTTTAAAGGCTACTTCTCTGTCACATGACTCATCATGGATTTAAGAAAGCGTTGTATCTTCTTTCAGAAAGGCAAGGGGAAAAGCAGGGAGGAGGGAAAATCACTTTGGTTTTTTACAATTCATAGCTTTCTGTGTTTTGAACAATAAATTGGGTCCTGAGACTTATCCTGTATTGCAAGTGAACCTTTCCTAAAAAGCCACTGATGTTGTGAAGACCAGGACTTTAACAGGGTTCAAAAATAACTAGATAGATTCATGGAGGTTAGGTCCATCAATGGCTATTAGTCAGGATGGGTAGGAATGGTGTTCTTAGCCTCTGTTTGTCAGAGGCTGGAAATGGATGACAGGAGAGGGATCACTTGATGATTACCTGTTCTGTTTACTCCCTTTGGGGCCTCTGGCATTGCCCACTATTGGCAGATAGGATACTGGGCTAGATGGACCTTTGGTCTGATGCAGTATGGCCATTCTTATGTTCTACATTTTCTAAAACAACCTTCCCCTCCTGGCAGGGGTGAGTCAACCTCCTAAAATGCTAAATAAATTCTTAGTACAATCCCCTTTAGTCAAAGTGTTTGTGAAAGATGTGTAACTGGTATGCGACTAGGATAATGACACAAGGAATGTAGTATATTGCCATAATTTAGATATGAGGATTTTTTTGGCTCCTCAGAGAGGGGCGTGGTGCTCTGATAAATGTAGCTATACTGAATGTATGAAAGGGTATTTTCAGGGTGGCTCTTGTTTGACTGTAAAATATTTACTTTTCATCTTTCTGTTAAAGACACATTGGGGGGAAAGCAAACATCACGTAGACATTAGTGGCTGATATACAGAACCACGAAAATGCAAGGGGAAAATAGATGAAATAAATAACCCTGATGCCCTGATGTTGCATATTTTCTTCAGAACACAAAACTCTCAACATTTGTATGAGAGCAATAATGATTAGCCAATATGGAACATCTGGGCTCTAGAAGTTCTGCGTACAGTCATTCATTAAATTTCCTTAGCTGACAAGAAATGAAACATCTTGCACTACCCCTGTGTTCACCGCTGCCTCCGCAGGTATGGAGATCACAACTCCCGTTGGCCACCGATCGCCATTCCCAGGCAATGGGAGCTGTGATCACAATACCTGCAGAGGTGCAGATAAATATAGTGGTAGTGGCCTACCAGGAGCCAACTCTGGTGAACTGCTGCCGTTTTATTGCCCACCCCCGCTAGAGAACTGAATCTAGTAAAGTGCTGAGAATGCTTACTGTTATCCAGCAAAGCAAGTAAGCACATGCTTAATTTGAAGTTGGCATTGGGACTACTCCTGTACTTCATATTTAAGAATGTAATTAAAACACAGAACAGTGATTGAATGCTCAATGTAATCCACTAGTCAGTGGATCCCTCTTAACCTATCTGTGAGCCATAGAAAATACATCAGGTACAGCCTCCACTGAAAACCCCTACCTCTGTGACTCAAGCTGTGGACACTTGTATTTTCAGCTCTAGGGGTCCGAGATTCAATTCCCAGTGACAGCAATGATGGCTACTATCAAATTAGCATTTAGAAGGATCAAGGTCAAGTTTCTTCTGACTAAAAACCACAGCTATTATTGTTCCTGTGAAAGGAAAGTCAAATATTGTTGCTTTGAGTGAGATTTTATCTATATTTAAAAGTTTGCTGTCATAGTTATTATTGGTTAGGAATATTTTTTTAAAAAATCACACTCCTAAACAACATTTATATGCCAGAAAAAGCCCTCATGAAGATAGTTATATTGACGAAAAAGTCCTGTTGCTGGTATAGCTTATTTTACTCAGGAAACTGATGTAAACCAGCATATTTGTTACTATAAACAGGGCATGAGATACACTTCACCAGTATGGCAAAATTAACACCAATATCCTGGTTCTATTTTATACTAGCAAACTTACTTGGCTTTTCCAGGTCCCTCAGGGCAGGGCCTTGGTGATGTGGGGGGGTTGTGTTTGCAGGAGGCTGGAAGCTAGGGGCATATCAACCCCCCCACCCATACCTTCAGCATGCTCGCCCACAACTAGTTGAGTAGTCAATTTCACACACACAGCCCTTGCTGCCTCTGAGATAGAGGCAGCAAAGGGAAGAGAGGGATACGTCAAAGCAGCAGCGCTGCACACCTGAGCTGGGGATCAGCTGTGCAGTGCTGCCGCTTTGAAACCCCAGTGCGGCATTTCAAAGGGGTAGCTGCTGTACTGCTGATCCACGGCTTAGCAGTGCAGCACTGCCCCTTTAAAAGGCTGAAGCACCATGGAGCCCGGGGTCACCTAGGGATTCCCCAGCTAACCACGGTTCCAAGCAGCATTTCCTACACTTTTCAAAGGGGCAATGCCATGGAGTCCAGGGTCAGCTGAGGACTCCCCAGCTGATCCCGGGCTCTGTGCAGCATTTCCCTAACTGATCCCGGGTTCCTCATGGCATGCAGTGCAGCATGGAGCCCAGAGTCCCCCACTGACCCCAGGCTCCATAGCTTTGAAATGCACAAGAGCCCCCTCTGGGGATTCTTGTGCATTTCAAAGCAGGCATCCGCATGCAGCCCGGAGTCAGCGGGACTTCCCCTCCCTTTGCTTGTTATGGAAAACTGTCCCTTTCCCAGGGCTTCCAGTTCTGCTGGCACAACCAAATCCAACCAAACCTTCCTTTAAGTTAAAAGAAGAGGAAGCTGCATACCAAATTTGGTGACCCTAGGTCTTATCGTTTAGAAAGAGTTCTTGAACAAATGGACTCACAGACAGACAGACACAGTCTAGATAGATAAATTAGATAAAGTAACTGCTACACACTGCTCAGAACTAGTGAATTCCTATCTAATGTCATTTCACATTTGTAGGCTTTTATGATCAATTCCAAAGCTCATTTACATGCATCAGTACCTTTAATTCTTACTTCCTTCTACAAACTTTTCCTCTTTGTTCAATCAAGCCTCGCTTGAGTCTTTGATGCACAGCAGAAGGAGTCTGGTCTCGCCACCCTCCACCTCCCCAGAGCTGTCTGTAAGTGAAATGAGAAAGTAGATGAAACTCTAAGATACCTGACAAATAGGTAATTCTTTTTTGATTCAGTAAAAAAACAGATACTTAATCCAAATAAAGATCTGATTGATAGATATAACTTCACTTTCTTTTATAAATATTGCACAATGCTCAACAACAAATAACAGAGATTGAAGATACAGAATATTCCTGAGCTATTATTTTGGAATGATTTCCAAATTACCTCAGACTGTTTGCAAGAACAGATGTACCTTTGGGGAAAAATGCTATTCCACCATATGAGAAACCTCCCAGGGATCAAGAAGAGCATATTTATGTTAACAGAAATACTATTACTAACACTGTACATGGTACTGAAGAACTCACCAGAATTCAGGGAGACTGTAGCAACTGCTACTGCTAAAGTGAAAAGGAGTTCTGTGGCACCTTATAGACTAACAGATGTATTGGAGCACAAGCTTTCGTGGGCAAAGACCCACTTCGTCAGATGCATGTCATATGTACGACTGCTAAAATACTCTTTTGCAAGGCAATTCATTTCAGTAGCATTTTTTTTCATTCCAGCCACAAAAACAATTACTGGCTAAATGAAGTTTTATTTCAAGATCAGTTAAATAGCCACGGGGATCTGTAATAAGGCAGGCACCTTTCAGCTATAGGTTGCCATATTGAATTGAGTCTCAGTCTCTAGTGGCTAGAAGTTGTTACCACAGAATGACAGCTCATTGACCTAAGTCTGTAGTCACCGACCAGTCGATCGCGATTGACTGGTCAATCACGAGGGCACTGCCAGTCAATCGCGAGGCAGTGTTCTCAACCCCCCTTTGCCCTCCCCCACCCCTAATGAGGAGACCGCGCTGGCGCTACTGCCTCCCACAAAAATAGAGCTAGCTCTAGCTTCCTGTGGCATTGGGGGTGGGGGACGGGACAGGGACCCGTGATTCCATGCCAGATCTGGATCTGGCACAGAGCCTTGGGACTTCCCGTTCCTCCTCCCCCAAGCCACAGGAAGGAAGGAAGGAAGGAAGGAAGGAAGGAAGGAAGGCAGCATGGGAAAGGAAGAGAAGTCAAGAAAGCACACACTCCTCCTCTGCCCACAACAGCACATGTGCTTTCTTGTCTTCTGTTCCTTCCCTGTGCTCCAGGAAGGCAGGGAGGAAAGGGGAATAGTTATGGATTTCTTAAAGAGCCACACATGCACTTCTTCCAGTGCCACCTGAAGATCCTGCCCCAAAGAGCCTCATCCCTGGAGATCCCCAGATACCAGCTGAGCTGCTCCCTCTCCCCAGGCCAGACCCCGCACCAGTACTCTGTCACCTGCGCCCTGGACAGATTCCCCCCAGCATCCCTCCAGACCTCCTACCAGCACCCTGTCACCTGGCCAGACACCATCCAGTACCCTACTCCCTCGCCAGACCCCCCACCAGTACCTTCCCCTGCCTCCTGGTCAGATCTCCAACAGCATCCTGCTCCTGCCACCAGGCCAAGAGCACCCTCTTCCTGCCCCCTCCTTCCTGGCCAGACATCTTCCCCCAGCTTGCTCCTGTACCCTACTTTTCACCCAGATTTTGCACCCCCCCATCCCTATCTCACTCACTGGCAGCCCTGTCCCGCACACTGGATCCCTCATTTTTGGCCCCTCCTCAGAGCCTAGAGGGGCCCACAAAATTCACTAACCCTAGATCTCCAAAAGAGATAATCTGGCCTGAGGCCTTAAACATCAGTCCTACTGACCCATGGGGCTAGAGTGCCAGGGGAGTGAGGTGTTAGGGCCGCATCAGTGAAGCTTAGGGTTTTTTTTGGAGGGGTTGTTTTTTTTGTATCTCATTTGTGTGGACCTCAACTGATTTTTCTGTGGGTCAGTGACCCCTGCCCCTCCCATAAGTAAAGATAATGCTGAAACGGTTTGTGTTGGACATATTTTATTTAAAAATGAAGCCTGGCTAACAAGCCTCCAGTTGGGGCCAAGCCTGCATCTAGTCACAGCATCATAACACTCCTGCACCCTCCACAAGCCCCAACCTAGAGCCCATCATACACCTGACCCCTCTTCCCTGAGCTTCTCAAATCCCCAAACCGTAGCACCCCCCCACACACATCCCCAGTCTTGTGCCACAACCCTCCTGTACCATCCACAG